TGAGCAGCATGAAAGAGGAAGCAGCCAGCCAACATATCCACAATTTGTTGGAGATGTCGGTGATATTGCACCTAATAAGGGAGAGTGGGAAGGGGGTCTAAGGGAAAATGAGAGAGATGATGATTCTGAAGCCACCCTATCCCAGCCATATTATTCACATATCGAGTCCCAAAAGCAACAGTGTAGGGATGAACACGACAGTGTAGGTGAGCATGAAGGATGAACAAGCTTCAAGGATTTTGAATTGCGAACACAACAGAACACTAACACTCCGGGATTTGGGTATAGTCAGACGCCTGCTAATATCGATGATTCGTTTTTAGATCAAATCAATGAATTGTCAAACAAATTCAATCAATGACACCAGCGTGATCAAGAAGAAGAAGGACGTCGTCTGTCTTTTTATTTTTAGATCGTATGTTACTAATTGTATGCTTTATTGTAGTCAATGCATGTTGATATACTTATTCCAGGATAATTCTATGTTTATCCTTTTGTGTGATGTAAATTAAATGATAAATAATAGTTCATGCAGGGAAAGAACATATCAATATTCGCATATTCATATAAAGAAATGAAAATTCTTAATGGAGTACCCTCATTTCTTATTGAATTCCTAAAAAACAATATTTATAATGAATTTTAATAATTTTTTTGGATTTTTTTGAAGCTTTAATCTAACCGATTCAGTCGATTCTCGATCCGGATCGCCGATTCACGGATCTGAATCGGTTTTTAAGGTGCCTGATCCGGCTCACTGATCCGCTTTTTAAACCATTGCAATCAACTAATGCACCCGTAAATGAAAATTATGCCACACATGGAGATTCTGCCCCACTAATGATTTATAACTTTTTTACAGTCTTAAAAAAGAGAGAAATAGTTATAAATACAATTTAAATTAATTAAAAATTCATATTCAAAATAAGAGTAGCCAGAAATGTAGTACCATGAAAGTTAAATTTGTTTTCGTAGATAAGATATAATAATTTATTTTGAAAATTTTAAGAAAATTTATTCATCAACTATTTTTTTGAAGCATAACTTTACACCTAAATATACAAATTCTCAAAAACCAAAAAAAATAAAAGGATCATAGATGGTTTCTTTAACACACAGACATATATACGAAAAATATTAAAAATGTCTATAGGAGAACTGCTACAGTGTTTTGCCACCGCCGCAGACTTGTTATGTCCGTGGCAATTCATTGAACGGACCCGTTGCGGTTCCACGTGAATTTTTTACCATAAAGGACTTAGCATATCAATGATCGTACTGCCACAGACATGCAAGGTCTGTGGCGGTCAAAAAATGTACGTCGTTCGACTTTTTCGGACTGTGATAAGCCTATGGGCAAAAACACTATTCATTTTAGCTTATAGGCGTTGTGTAGTCTCTTACACACACACACACACACACACACACACACATATATATATATATATATGGCAAACACTACGCAACGCCTATAGGCGAAAATGAACAGTGATTTCGCCTACCCCCATCATCGTCATCGTCCAAAGTTCATCGCGCGGTCACGAATGTCCGGTAGTGTTCATTTTCTATTTTTTTCTACTAATCAGAATGACCTTAAAGTTTAGGGTTAGTTTTGGTACTAATTTATTTTCACGGTATTAATTTTTTATTATTT